AAAAAAAAAAAAAAAAAGAATGGGTATTTACAGCTAAATACATTAAAATAGGTGCAAAGGACCGAGACAAAGTAGCTCAGTAGTTGCCAGGAGCTGTGGAGACTGGGGAAGAGGAAGTGGATGGGTTTTCTTCTGGGTGTGAGAAATATTCTGGAATCAAGAGCAGGGATGATGGCACATCCTGTGAGTGCCTAAAAAATCACTGAGCTCTGCACTTTAAGAGTGGGTTTCATGGCAATTCAAAGAAATCGGGGGTACTGGTACCTCAGGGAAGTCCTGACACGACAGATGAAGTTTGAAAAACCTCCCTGACAGCTAGAGGCAGCAGCCAGAGTTGGCGGACGCGGCCCGGCAGTCAGAGGCAGGGGCTGAGACGGCCTCGGTTCTCCGGGAGACCCAATTCTACTCAGACGAGACCAAGTCTGGATCGGGACCAGAGCCCCCACCCCTCCTTCCCACGGGGGACGCGGTTCTACCATCAAGGTCCTCCTGGTCCCCTCTGCACCCGCTGACCCCTCAATTCCAGGCTCGCCTGTTTAGACGTAAGCCGGGCCCGTCAGCCTTTTCCTCTTCTGATCCTGGCCCGGGGGTACCCCGCGAGGCTGCCCCGGGGCCCCCAGTCCGCGACCCGACCCGCCTGGGCCCGGGTCAGCTTCCCCGACAGCTGTCTCCTGCCCCTCTGGCAGCCCCGGCCGTCCTCGCAGGTCGCACCTCCGCGCCCCGGCCGGCTTCCGTACCTGCTTTCAGCGCGTCTCTGTCCCAGCCGCTGGAGGTGGAGGCGTCGTCCTGAGCACTCCGGAGACCCATGCTCCGGGGGCCCGGGCTCGGGCCCGAGCCCCGGCAGGTGGGCGAGCCGAGAGAAGACGAGGCTGCGGCCGCGGAAGACAGCGCCGGCACCGCGGGGCAAGCTCCGTTCGGTCAGCCTGCGGCGCGCAGGCGCGCAGGCGTCCCCGCGCCGGCCCCGCCCCCGCGTCAGCACGTGACCTTCGCTACGTAGGGACCCGCGGCGGTCGCCGGGGCACGCGCGCAGGCGCCTTAAACCCAGACTTGGAGAGTACTGGGAGCGCGCCCGGGGGTAGTTGTGTGTGACCCGTGGAGTGCGGCGTTTTTTACCCAGAGCGTTGGGAACCAACGAGACTGTCATTTCTCCTGCTTTTGTCTGTGAAGTGTTACTGGAGATAATAAAAGACTCAGCTTAGTTACTGGGCAGCGCTGCTGATTTTGCTTACCAGTGATTTACCTCATGTCTCACCCCCTAACAGGTACTTGTCTGCCTTGGCGACAAGGGCTTAGTAGGACCACACCACAACGCCAAGAGGCACTGTTCCCACAGGCGACTAGGTGAGCAGTGTGCCCGCTGATAAACCAGGCCACTCATACAAAGGTAGCACCAGGCTTGCCAGTTCTCATCGCGGGGGCTAATCCCGTCTCTCAAACGTCACCCATTCCCTTGCTCACACCCCTGTCATGATGTCCCCAAAGGTCGCATCTCCAATTTGCCAATGCTAGGGCCGGACGCTGTAGGTTCCATTGTTCTGGTGGCGGCCTGACCCCTACCACATGTCTCATTTTCCTGACACCTTCTGGGCACGGAACGCCAGTCTTTGGCCCTCCGGGTTTCATCCCATCCTGAACGTTCAGCCCAGGTTTCACGACCCATCATCTCGTTGTTAAGTCCTTTTAAAAAAATTTCTCCGTGCAGCTTACAGGAGCAAAACAGATTACTCTGAAGGTAACCTGGTTTTTAGAACTAATATTCAATTTATTCAATTTCTAAGTCGAAAACCTTGTTCTTAATTTCAACGGACAAACAGTTCCATTCATAGATTTAGTAATTTTAGCAATCACTTCTCTCTTCCCATTAATATAGTTGGTTAATTAAATACATTTGAAACTGCAATTACAAATTAATTCATTTTTAAAAGAATTACACATTTTTAACAAAAACCGGTGAGTCCTTATGTAATCCTTGAAAATGTAATAAACAACTTGTAAATACAATAAGTCATACATTTTAAAATGTCAATACAAACCTAGTAATATTTCAACACAAAATTGCAAGTCTAAATCTATTATTCACATATATTTGTAATACAAAAATGCTAAAATTTTCAAAATTATCTTAAATATTGTTAAGAATCGCATTGGGATAAGCTCCCTTATCCCAAAAAATGTTAACACCAAGAGTTTAAACATTTCTGGTCTTTATAAAATCATAGCTGAGGTTAAGAGGTTTAATTGGCCTGAAGAAAGTATTAAGTTCACACAATTTGGGAGGAACAAATTGGGGTACTTACTTCCTTTTCAGTTATTGTGCTGGGTCAGTGAGTCTGTCCCTGCAACAGTGATGAGATGGTGACCCTTCCCCTCTCCACCATTGCATTAGGACTAAGAAATGTGTGGTTATTGTAGGCTTGGGTCAGCTGTTCTCTGTAAAACAAAAGTGACTGGTTCTCAGGGAAAAAGGAGCAATGGTCAAGTTATTGTCAAGTGCTCAGTAAGGTGATGAACAGGGTGTCCCCAAATCCAGCTTCTTTCTCTGGTAGATCCCTCATCTTCTGAATAGCACATTCCCAAGGTGCAGTTCATTATCCCAGAGTTCTAAATGCCAGCTAGACAGGGACTGACTGCTGGTTATATTACTTTATAATTATAATGGGGATGGGGGAGTAGAGCACAAGGTAATATGGTGGAGCACGATGGTGACCACACCCGAAAGAGCAATCACCCACTATCTGAAAGCTAACAATGTGAAGAAAAAATACATTTAAAAATTAAGTAAGAGCCCTCCCTGGTGGCGCAATGGGTTAGGACCAACATTGCAAGCTGGCCACAACTGCTTCTGTGCAAGTTCAGTCCGGCCCCAGAGGAGACCCACATGGCACACCAGACCTCTCCTGGCCGGCCTGCTGCTCCCCTCAGCCGTGTAGATCTGCCTGTTCTGCTCCTCACTCTGTCTCTGGTGAATCCTCTCACCCCTGCACCTCTCACCTGTACCCCAGTTCTGTATTCATAATAAATAAATCTTTAAAAAAATTTTAAATCAAAAGCAACTAGTTTGGTGTGTAAAAAAGTGATGTTTGCGTTGTTTGAAGTTGCAAATTTTCAGCTTTTCTTTTTGTCTGGCTTTAATTCAGCATTAAGATTAATCCATGTTGGGCCCTCCCTGGTGGCGCAGCGGATTAGAGCACAGCACAAAGAAGCTAAAGCCTCTTCAGCGTGAGTTTGATCCCCACCCCGAAGGTGACCCACATGGCACAGCAGACCTCTCCTGACCCACTGCTGCTCCCCTCAGCAGTGTACTTTGTCGTTCTGCCTGTTCTGCTCCCCACTGTCTCTGGTGAATCCTCTCACTGCCCCTGCACCTCTGGCTTGTACCCCAATTCTGTATGCATCAACAAATAAATCTTAAAAAAAAAGATTAATCCATGTTGCTGCATTATCAAGTTTGTTTTTTTAAAGATTTATTTGTGCATATAGAATTGGGATATAGGCCAGAGGTGCAGGGAACATGAGAGGATTCACCAGAGACAGAGTGGGGAGCAGAGTAGGCAGACTGACAAAATACACTGCTGAGGGAAGCAGCGAGCAAGACAGGAGAGGTCTGCTGTGCCATGTGGGTCACCTCCGGGGCCAGGGATCCAACTCGCATTGAAGTGGCTGTGGCTCATTTGCAGTGCTGTGTCCTAACCTGCTGTGCCACTAGGGGGGCCATTCAAGTTTTCTTTTCATTTCTGAGTAATACTTCACCATATGGTTATACCATAACTCAGTGATCTTTGTTCTAACAGATGCTATGCATACAAAATTCATTGCTAATATCTTTGCTTCAGACCAGGGATTAGCAAAGGATGGCCTGCCTGAAAGCCAAAACTAGTCCACTGCCTGATTTTGGGTGCTTCATCAGCTAAGAGCTGCTTTTACAACTCTAAGTGAAAAACAAAATAAATGTAGAATAATTTGTGGCATGAAAAATAAATTCAAGTCTGAGTCTAAAACTACTTACTGAAATACAGTCATGCTCATTAATTTACCAATTGTCTAAGAGTGCTTTTATGTGCTACATTAGAGATGAGTGGCTGCAATGGAGCTCATGTGACCCACAAAAACCTAAAATATTTATTCATTCCTTTAGTTTGTTGACCTCCTACTTTTTAAAAAGATTTATGTATATAAGAACAGGGGTGTAGGCCAGAAGTGCAGGGGGTGAGAGGATTCACCAGAGACAATGGGGAGCAGAGCAGGTAGGCTGACTGAAATCCACTGCCGAGGGGAGCAGCAGGTGAGACAGGTCTACTGAATCACCTAGGTTATCTCCTTGGCAGGGGATCAAACTCAGGTTGCAGTGGCTAGTGATAGCTTCATAGTGCTATGTCTTTAATCTTTTTTCCTTGAGATCACACATCTAATCTTTGCATCACCAGGGAGGCACTGTTCTCTTACTTTAAACTTCGTTTTTAAGGCAAAAAGAATTATTTTCATTTATTCCAACCCATTTGTCGGTCCATAGATCCAAGTTCTGTCTAGTACATTCCATCTGCTAGAACCTCCTTTAATCTTTTTTTTTTTTTTTTTGTCCAAGAAAGGCTTTATCTTGCCTTCATTAAAAGATTATTTTCACTTGATATGGGATTCTGGGTTGACAGGTTGTTTTTCTTCTTCAGCACTAAAGTTATTTCATTATCTTGTGGCTTTTAATGGTTTCTGATAAATCTCAGCTTCCTCTGTATGTGTCATGTCTTCCCCTGTGCTGCCTCTTAAGATTTTGTCTGTTTTAGCAATTGGAGTGATATACCTAGCTTTGTGTATATAGATTTCTAACCTTTTTTCCCTACAAATATTTTAGAATATTTTAGTTCTATTCTCTTTTCTGGGTATCTATCTACACATTATATTGCTTGATATTGTCCCACCAGCTATTAGAGGCTGGTTTTGGTTACTTCTTTCCTTCATTTTTGCCTTTGTGTTTTCAGTTTGGGTAATTCCTACTCATCATCTTCAGTTTTGCTCATACTTCCTAGGTTGTGATGAGTCCACTGATAAGCCCATGAAAGAAATTTTTACCTGTTGAGTATCTCATTTTTTGCATGCTTGTTAACTAACATCTTTTTTCCTTGAGACCACACATCTAATCTTGTTCCCTTTTTAAGTCTTTAGCATGTTATTTTAAATTCCTTATCAGATAGTTTTAATGTGTTGTGTCTTAAAAGAGTGTTTTGGTTCTTCTTTTTAAAGATTTATTTCTTTATGCTTACAAGAGCTGGGGTGTAGGCCAGAGGTGTGGGTGTGTGAGAGGATTCGCCAGAGACAGTAATGAACAGAACAGGTGGCTTCATTGAAATCCACTGATTGAGGGGAGCTGTGGGTGACAGGAGAGGTCTGCTGCACCATGTGGGTTACCTCCCTTCCCTGTCCAGGGATCAAACTCATGCTGTAGTGGCTGAGGATACCTACAAAGTGCTGTGACACTTAACCCCTTGCACCACCAGGGAGGCCCCATTTTGTCTTCTGACAAAGCAAAGTTTTCTTTTTGTTATGCTAAGCTTTGGTGAAAACTGGACACCTTGTATAGGACAAGAGGTCAAGGTAAAATGTTTGTGTATGTGGAAATGGGCACACCTTTTGTGAGGCCTTTAGTGTTGGGGCTAGTTAAGACTGTCTGAGTTAGAACCTTACCATTAACGTGGTTACCACCAATGCACAAATTTCAAATTCCTCTAATGACATCTTGGACTTACAATGTGCAGGCTGTACCTCAACAGGGTCTTCTTTGCATACTCTGTTCATCTCCTAGCAGGTATATTACTTTTTTACTCAAGGCTTGTTATCTTAAGTTTGGTAGGTGGGGGAGCGCATTGTTTTTGAGTGTGTCCTTATCTGGCACTGTGCCCTAGTCTTGGAGGGCGA